CCACCGAGCGTCCTGCATCCTGTCCGATAGGCCGATAGGGTGGCCGCCTGGGCGGACATGTGGACGCCCTAGACTGATTCCGAGAGTCGTTTTCGTCGCTCTGGCTCTCTCGCACTCGTACGGGACGCCCCATGAGTGCGAGAGGGACAGAGCGACTCTCGGAATCGGTCTGGTGGATGGATGATGGGTGGGCTCTGGCTGTCGCTAAGCCACTCGGCGGCTCGTTACGATAACAACGCATCGAAAGGGGGAGAAGGAGAAGGAGCAGGGATAGGAAAAAAAGGCGGAGAAATGGTGGGCCCTGATCGCTCGCTCGCTTGCTCCGGGATTGCGGCCCGGACCGCTGCCGCCGAGCGCGCCGAGCGCGGCGTGCGTGGTGCACTCCAAGGGGATGAAGCGGCAGCGCCGGGTCATTCGTCAGGTGAAGAATGAGCCGTCGAGGTCCCCGACGACGACGGGGAGGTCCCCGACGACGACGGGGAGGTCCCCGACGTCGCGACGCCGCCCCGGCCAAGCCCCGCCGCCCCCTCGACGACGCGCCAGACAGGCCAGACAGAGAAACAAGATAGCCGCCGAGATGATCGGAGTGTGGCTCCGCCTTGGCGTCGCCTTGGCAGCAGCGTCCCACCAACCCCACCACGCACAGTGGGCCAGAAGACCGGTGGAGGTGGCCGACAGTCGACAGGACCTCTGCTTTGTGGCCGCGGACGCCAGGTCGAGTCCCAAATCTCGCCGAGACAAACAGCGTTCGCGCGTCCGGCGGTGCGCGGAGAGGGAGGGGGCTTTCAACCCGCGGACTGGGGGAAAGGGGGGGGGGCGTCGAGTCCGGGCAGCCCAGACAGTTTGCGCCCTAAAGAGGGGGAGATTTAGCGGGCCGGGTGGCCGGCCGGCCAAGGAGGCCAGAGGCTGGGGCCCGGAGCCTTCGGAGCCGAGCTCCTCGTCATTGTCTTGGAGGCGGCGGCCTGGACAAGCTCCGCAGCGCCCCGCCACGCCACTGCAAGGCTGGAGGCTTGGCTGGAGTGTTGGAGGACGCAAGCCAGGGTGTAATTCGCTATCGCCCGCCTCCGAGGACCGCGTCGATCGTAAATTAGGCGTGAGGCTGGCGCGGCACAGTGGGCCAGAAGACCGGTGGAGGCGGCCATGAGGCGGCCAAAACTCAAGGCCCGTTCTGAGCTCCAGGCCGGAGATCCCTGGCCTGGAGGCTGGAGGCTGCTGGACGAGGCTGGAGAGGCAGCCGTCCCAGACAGCGGCTCTGCTGGAGTCTGGGGCGGACCGAGCCACCACGCCCCATTAACCCTTCACTGTGAGATACCTCGGACACGCCTTGGACTGGCTCCAGCGGCTCCAGCGGCCAAACAACCCTGCAGCCCGGATCCAGCAGCAGATTGCACAGGTCAACGCAGTGCGCTGTGCATACAGTGGCGCACACAGTACAGGCCAAGGACCGCCACTACACTGCAGCCTGTGTACAGTGTACACGCACGGCCCAAAATCAACAACGCACTCAATTACCACGGCTTTCGTGTTATTTCAAGTCAGGCAACTCTCCTCCGCAATCAATCACTTGCTCTCCCCCTCTCTGTCTATTTTCCAGCTCTCCGCCCCGCTGGCCGGCCGGCCCCCGCCACTCCCCCTCCTTGTCCAACGCGTGGAAAACGGTCTCACCCACAGTGGGCCAGAAGACCGGTGGAGGCGGGCAAAATCTAGGACGGGTTTTGAGCTCCAGAGTCGCTAAATGGGACTCAACCCGAACGTGTGACCCCACCAATGGATTGCTCGCCGAACGAGGAATCCATTGATGGGGTCACACGTTCGGTTCGAGTCCTGTTGAGCGACTCTGCAGCTCAAAACGCGTCTAGAGTTTTGGCCGCCTCCGACGTTCTTCTGGCCCACTGTGCGCCCGTCTCTCTGCCAGCCGCAAGGTCCAGGGTTCAAACACCCTCTTTTTCGACCGCCACACTTTCCCCCATTTTATTTTTACCTCTTGTTTTTTACGAGATTGTTTTGTTTGGGAAGGTACCCGCGGCGCGGCCGCGCAGCTGGTGACGGATGCCGCGTCCATACGTGCTGACACGTCGGACAGAGATAGACCACCGCGGGGAGCGGACGGGCAGACAGACAGACAGGTGGACAGACAGGCAGGCAACCCTAATTACAGGCAACTCAGCGGGTCGCAGCCCCCGCCGTCGTGGCCGTGGCGGGGCGGGGCGGGGCGGGGCGGGGTGGGGCGGGGTGAGGCGCAGGCGCAGCGCGTAATGAACGATTAGTGCCCAAGTTGGCCCCACATTTGCCACGCCCCGCCCCGCCCAGATATGTATTTCGGTCCCAACAGCAGCGCGGAAACGCGAAGGGAACGGTAACCCACAGCACTCCGAGTGACGGCACGGCGCTGCGACCGTCTGTCTGTCTGTCTGTCTGTCTGTCCGTCTGTTCGTCCGCCCGCGTCGTCTGCTTATAAACAGGGCCCTCCGGCCAAGCCTGCAGGCAGCCCTGCGGACTGATTCCGAGGGTCGTTTCCGTCGCTCCGTCTCTCTCGCACCTGCACGCGACGCCCCACGAGTGCGAGAGAGACAGAGCGACGAAAACGACTCTCGGAATCGGTCCGCAGGGGCGGCGCGACGGCACCTGGTGCCAAGCCAAGCCAAGGGGTGGAGAGGCATCGATCCGGCACCTACTCCACGCGCCCCGCCTGCCTGGCCCTGCTTCACTTGAGGACACTTTTCAATACATGAGGAACGCAGCTCCCCCCCCTCTCTCTCTCTCTCACCACCCGCACGCGCGAGAGCGAAAGAGAGCAGGCGCCCATGAAGGAAAGTCTGCGGGGTTTACGCCTGCGAAGCCGACCGCCCCCGAGCAGCAGCCCATCCTGATATGCAACGGCACTCGTGCATATTGGCAGCGGCGCCTGATGCTCCGTCTCTCTCGCACCCACGCGGGGCCGCGGGACGCCGCTGGGAGTGAGAGAGAGAGAGAGAGAGAGAGAGAGAGAGAGAGAGAGAGAGAGAGAGAGAGAGAGAGAGAGAGAGAGAGAGAGAGACGGACGCGCCGCAGCCACTCTCTAAAGCAACACTCCGTCAAAACGACGAAAACTAAATAGTTTCATTGGCTTAACTGTTTTTTTTTTCACAGTGAAGGACCGCGGAGGGTGAACAAAATCGACTGGAAAGAGAAAAGGGCAAAAAGAAGATAGGCCGCTGGGGCGCGGGTAACTTCTGCACCCGTAGGCCGTGGGCCTAGGCCCGCCACTCCAGCAGACTCCAGGCTCCAGCCGCCATATCTTCCAGTGCAGCGCACTTCACTTTTCCTCCAGACGAGCGCCGTCAGTGCACTTACAGTGCACGGGGCGCTGCAGGCGCTGTAAATATCCCACTTTGCCGCAAACACTTCCATAACTTTTTATATTCGGCCCGGAATAAATCCAATTTGATTCCGACAAGATTATGCGGTGGCGGAGCGTTTAGGCAACTTCTCATTTCCCAGTGTTATTAAATCTCGGGCTCACCCCTTTGGCCCGTCCCCCACAAATCGTCACTCCGGGGCTCCACCTTTTCGGAGCGTTTGCCGCGGCACTCGGCATCTGCGCGGAACGGCCGGCACGGCCCCATCGGCACGCCGCGGCACACTGTGGGAAGCGATTCGGAACGGCTGTTGCCGCCGCCGCTTCAACTAGCCAAAATCATTGTTTAAATAAAAAAAAATCAAGAAATTTTTTAAAAATTAAAATCACAGCACTACGGCTGTTTTCTTTTTTTTTCGACGGTGTCGTTTCTAATTAGGAGGCCGGTCTCAAAGCAGGAAAAGGACGGCATTGTCCGCTCGATGTGATGCAGGCATTCCTGGAGGATATCAGCGGGAAGTCGCCAAGGAGCCGTTACAAAAAAAAAAAAAAACAACAGCAACAAAAAAAAAAACACAAGAAAGTTGCAACAAAAAAAAATAAGGCCTCCAATAAAGCGCCGCCCCCGCGGAAAAAAAAGAAGAGAAAAGACTCAAAATAATAAAAAGGAGCGAAGAATGTCACAAGGTGTGGCGCTGCGAAATTAAAAGCGCGCGGAGTCCACTGTGTCAGAGTCGGAGTCGGACACGGCACGCCGACGGTTTTTAATTGTGTCGTCGCAAACGGAGCGCACCGAGCAAACACACACACACACACACACACACACACACACACACACACACACCAAAAAACACACACACCTACACACGAGACTAAAAAATATGTTCTTATTTAAAATTTTGGTGAATCGGGATGGGGACTAAATTTGAAAACGGCTGCGACTTGACTTCCTCTTTTTTTCCAACCTTATTGTTTTCAAAATTTACTCCCTTGCGACGCAGCTTCCCTCATTAAAAGAAACGGATCGGAGGGGAGGGAGGCGCGGGAAGCGACCGGCCGCCTGATTGGCGCTGCCTCGCGCTGCTGCCTGATTGTAATTCCCCCGGCCGCCGTTTCCTTATTTTCAGTTAATACCGCGGTATTCAAAGGGCCGGCCCTTCATTTCCGCGGCCCGCTTGGCTCCGAAGGGCGAAGGGTCCGAAGGGTTCACAAGGCGCAGCGAGAGAGAGAGAGAGAGAGAGAGAGAGAGAGACAGAGAGAGAGAGAGAGAGAGAGAGAGAGAGAGAGAGAGAGAGAGAGAGAGAGAGAGAGAGAGAGAGAGAGAGAGCTGGGCGGGCGGAAGGCCCCTGTGCGCCCGGCGCGCAGGCCACCGCGCCACCGCGCGTGCGTGGCTGCGGGCGGGCGGCCTGCCTCCACGGCGCTCCTCGCTCCGCGCTGTGCACAGAGGCGAGCTCCAGAGTCGCTAAACAGGACTCGAACCGAACGTGTGACCCCACTAATGCATTGCTCTTCGAACGAGGAATCCATTGGTGGGGTCACACGTTCGGTTCGAGTCCTGTTTAGCGACTCTGGAGCTCGAAACGCGTCTAGAGTTTTTGACCGCCTCCTCCGGTCTTCTGGCCCACTGTGGAGTGCAGGCTCGGCTTCGCGGACTCGTACTCACCTTGCCCAGCTGCCGCTGCAGCCGCTGCACTGCGGAGCGCTCCCGCGCGCAGCACCGCCGCTCCGCCTCCAGCAGGGCCTCCAGCTCCAGCACGCGCAGCTCCAGGCCCTCCTGCAACCACACAAAGTTTGCCTCAGTCATGTCAGAGTCGTCACCTCCGTCGCTCTGTCTCTGTCACACTCGTGCGACTCAAGCTGACAAAATTTCAAAATTTTCCAAAATAATCACTGGAAAGGGGTGCGCTTTCGGAGGGTGAGTTGTGAAATAAAGAGCTGCTGTCTCCTTTGGACTCGCCGTGTCGGCTTGTCGGCGTGTTGCCGCTCGACGAGGCCGGCGGAGGGCACGCCACTGCGAGACACGCCTAATCCCGATGCGGGCCGGATGAGTGGTGGAGGCCGCAGTGCGCCCCGCCCCGCCCCGCCCCGCCCCGCCCCGCCCCGCCCTGGCGCCAGGCAGCCCAAACTGCTGCATCTGTGGTGGCGCCGCCGCACCCCGCCTGGGCCGGCTGGCGGGCCTTAGGCCCTCACAAACGGAGGAGTAAAAGTGAATAGAACAAGCGCCTTCGAGCGGCGCTTTCGTCGCTCTGTCTCTCTCGCACTCACGGGGCGTCCCGTAAGGGTGCGAGTGAGAGAGGGAGAGTGCTCTGTGCGGAAGTGGCCCGCTGGCTGCCGGGCCCATAATCCCCTCTGTCTGGGCCCCCTCAGTCCGCGCGCCCGGAGCAGGGCGAGCAGGGCGGGCAGGGCGGCCCGGAGTCACCGCTTCCATTTTGGGGCTGGGGGAGGGGAGGGGGGCTGCCCCCAGACATCATCGTCCGTGTTTAAAGCGTCTCTGTGATCCACGTCGGGGATGAGGAGACTCGGCAACCGGCACACTGACTCCGAGACTGTCTCTCTCGCACTCATGGGGCGTCCCACAGTTGCGAGAGAGACAGAGCGACGACGGCGACGGGCCACGCCGACGTCGGCATCTCGTCGACCTCATCCAAGAGGAGGGAGAGGACCATGGGGCTCCGGGCAGTCACACAACCGCCTGGAAGTAGGCAACGCGAAGGATCACTGGTAAGGAAAAAGTAAGTAAGGTTCTTACATTTTTTTCCGCACCCCATTTTCCGAACTTTCTCCGAGCCAAACTACAGAACTTTTTGCAGTGGAAGAAGCTGCCAGGCTGTGGAAAATGATTTCCAGCCGCTGGTTTTGACAGTGCAGCCGCAAGAGGCAGTGCGCCTCGCAGTGCGCGGCCATGCCAGGCACCGCCAGGCCGGGGAGAGAGAGAGACGGAGAGAGAAAGACAGATACACTAGAGAGAAAGAGAGAGAGGGAGAGAGAGAGAGTCGAGCCCAGCCGAGCGCAGCGGCGCCGTTTTATGACGAAATAATCTTCACTCGGCTTGCGACCCGATCAGTCTCGCGCTGGAGCTGGGAGCGGCTGGAAGCGAAGGGAGGGGAGGGGGAGGCGGGGTCGCCGGGGGTCACGTGACCAAGGTGGCGCCGAGTCCTCCAGGACGCGCGTGCGGAGGGAAGGCAAGCTGCCGACGCACACCGTGACCGTGACGACCCAAACGCGATTTCAATATTTCAGGATTTTCGCGAGAACACGATTGACGAAGGACCCGAAGGGAACCGGGCCCTTCCCTTCGCACGCACACTGCACAGGCGGGGTTGCCATGGCAACCAAAAGACGATAAAATCGGCGACCTTTTTGAAACGGAATCAGTCTCCCGTTTTAATGCGCGCCTCGCACAGCAGCCTCATTCGCTCTGTCTCTCTCGCACCGGTGCGGCACACCCCAAGAGAGCGAGAGAGACAGAGCGGCGACGTCGGCGACAAAGCAGCTAGTCAGCGCGCTGCACCGGGCGGCTCCAACAACGCAAACTTTAACGAAGACTGATACTCCGGCCACGTGACTTCGCCCGTCTCTCTCTGGCGCGCCGTCGACAGCGAGAGAGAGAGAGAGAGAGAGAGAGAGAGAGAGAGAGAGAGAGAGAGAGAGAGAGAGAGAGAGAGAGAGAGAGAGAGAGAGAGAGAGAGAGAGAGAGAGACGGAGCACGCGCGCGACGCGAGCGTGAATAATTCATCACGTTTGCAGCATCCATTAGCAAGCCATACAGGGCAGCAGCAACAGCGGTCCAATAATACCGTCGACATGAACATGGCCGCGGGTTCACTGAGACAGAAGCCGCGCGGACGTCTTGTGCTTGTGAGTCTCGCGGCGCGCTGTCTCTCTCGCACCCCCTGCGGCGCGCCCCGCGAGTGCGAGAGAGACAGAGCGACACTGTTGGACCGGCAGGATCGGCTCCCTCCCCACCTGCAGTGGGGCCGCCAGCCTCCAGCCCCGCGCCACGCCGCCCGCGCAGTTCAGGGACCCAAGTAGTGCGAGGGGAGAGGGAGGGAGGCACGGCACAGGTCTTCTGCTCCATGAGGCTCTGTCCTCGCTTCATCAAGCATTCGCGCTGATACGGTACGGCCCCCACCGGCTGTACTGCTGTACTGCCGGGGCGGGGATGGCCCCCCCCCCCTCTCTCTCTCTCTCTCTCTCTCTCTCTCTCTCTCTCTCTCTCTCTCTCTCTCTCCCACGTCCAGCGAGGGTGCGAGAGAGAGGGACCGACGGGACGCCCCGCTCAGCCCCAGCAGTCCAGCCACCCCCAGGCGGCAAAGGGGCTGCCCTGGGCTAGGGCTGACCCTTCGGTCCTCCGGGCCCTTCATCGTAAAATCTGAATTCTCATATTTCTGGGCGGCGGGATGAGATTTGACCGGCCGGTCGGAATAACGCCATTTTTATTTATGCCTACCGGATATCTTGGCCGCCTCCGCCCCTCGCGCTACGCATCCGCGGGACGGGGCGCGTTCGCCTCCGAGACGCTCGAATTCGGCTAGCCAAGAAGCTTCCTTTCACAATGCAAAGTCCACTAGTATATTTTCTTTGCAGTGTCGGCCGGTAAAAAAAAGAGTGAAACAGCGGGATTCGAACCCACGACCATCGGCACGGCCCGAATCTTGCGTGTCGCGACTGGTCGTTTAATGTTTTCCCCAGTGTACTCCACAGTACTCACAGTGTCCGACGCAGTCAGGCGTTTCCAACACACTGCACTGCCGCGGCCGGAATGCCTCCAATGCCCCCGATGCCCGCGCGCCAGGAATTTGAATTTAATTTCCGAGCGGTTCATTACCAAAATTCCAGCGCGTGTGTCGTGCGTGGCGGGGTCCAAACTACACGCACCACGCCACAACACTACGCGGCGGCCGGGCGGACGGACGGACAGACAGATAGACAGACAGACAGAGGGCTCGATTTGATTCGAGACAACAGATGCTCTGCCGCACGCATCGTCCGAAATTTGGCCAAACACAGCACGCGCCCAGGACAATGCACCAATCGACTAGATCGATTCCCAACGAGGAAAACCCGCTGCGTCTGTGTGTGTGTGTGTGTGTCCGGCGAGGGTGGCTGGAGTAGGGGTGCGGCGTAGGCAAAGTTGGCAAGGACTCAAAATCAGTGGGGGAGGCTTTGGTTGCGCGGGGATGGGGAGGGGGGAAGGGGGGGGGGGGGTGTCCAGGGGTGTCAATCAAACACCCGCGTGGCAATAAGCCGACTGGTCGCTGCGAGACTGCGAGTAAGGCGACCCAGTGCTGTGGCGCGGTACACTGCGAACAGGGTGGCTCCTTTTCTGGAAGAGGAAAGGGAGTTCGGGGGTCGCCCCCTGTTTCCCAAAGCGAAGTGGAGGGGTTGCCCCCGTTTTGCCATTTCTTTCCCAATTTTTTGTATATGGCGGCGGAGCAAAGTGGGCAGGCGAGGCGGGCGGTGGGCGGGCATGATGGAAGGCGGGTGTAAAAGTACGGGAAGGAAGGAAACGGACTGCAAGTCGCTGATTCACGATCCACCAGGCCGACCAGCCCGACCAGCCCGACCGGCATGCACAGCCATGCACGCCGCCGCTTTCGCCGCCCTGTCTCTCTCGCACTCATGGGGCGTCCCGTAGGGGTGCGAGAGAGACAGAGCGACGGGGCCGAAAAGCACGGCCCCACCTCCGCCAAGGCAAGGAGCCGCAGCTCTGTGAGGAAGAGAGACAGAGAGGGGCGGATGAGAGGGGAGAGGGAGGGAGGGACAGAGAGGGACAGAGAGAGAGAGGGAGAGTGCGTGTGGCAGGCGTTATTGTGAATCACTCAGCAAAAGTGGCCCCGATAGCGCCTTCGCTCGCAGAATGGACAAAGTTCCCCAAACGGCGCTTCCGGCGACGCCTCGTCGGACGATACATGACGACGACGACGCCGTTTGAGCGTCGCGACGCCGCCACCGGGACGCCCTTCATAACTTTGCCGGAGTCGGCAGACTGATTCCGAGAGTCGTCTTCGTCGCTCTGTCTCTCTCGCACTCACGGGGCGTCCCGTTAAGGTGCGAGAGAGACAGAGCGACGAGAACGACTCTCGGAAACAGTCTGCTGGAGTCAAGGCGGGGAAAACCACCGGCGTGCCGGCCGGCGGCCCCCTGCTCTCCAGGACGCCGTTTTGGCGCCGTTTTGGCGCCGTTTTGGCGCCGTTTTGGCGGCGGCGCCGTGGCGGACGGCAAGCAAGCCCTCTTCCTCGTCACTTCCCCTCGCAGTGCAGGGGAAGGCCGCGTCCCGAAGGAGTCGAGGCATCGAATCGATTCCTCGCGGAGTTGCATCGAAACGAAAACATCGCCGTCAAACTGGCGTCCGTCCGTTGCGGTGCCGCGGTGCGGTGGGTCAGGGCGCGGCAGCCTGCGGCAGCAGGCTCTGTCGCTCTGTCCCTCTCGCACCCTGGCGGGACGGCCCACGAGCGAGAGAGACAGGGCGACACGCCCGCTGCACCCGCCTGGAGGGCTCCCCCACGGCGGGCCACCCTTGACGCACACCCCTGTGAGTCAGCCGCCAGCGGACTGACACAGTGCTGACACCCACCCCTTTGTCAGCCCCCCCCCTCGACAAATTTATGTGGGTGACTCATAAAACCGCGTGCTTAGTGCGTCGCGACGTCGCGGCCGCGGACTGCGGGACCGCGCGGCGAGGCGCGCACACTATCGAGCCGAAACGTCCACGCTCCCCAAACACGCGTCCCGGCCGCGCCGCCGAGATAGGCCGCCCGACAACACGTGACA